ACTGTTTCTCCTTGGACTTCCTTCCTCCATAACAAAGACACATTTTTTACTTCTTTCCTAGAATAAATAAATAAATAAATAAATAAATAAATAAATAAAAAACAAGCTACCTCTTGTTATTTCTACTCAGTTCTCCCTAATTTCATAAACTGTTTCTCCTTGGACTTCCTTCCTCCATAACAAAGACACATTTTTTACTTCTTTCCTAGAATAAATAAATAAATAAATAAATAAATAAATAAAAAACAAGCTACCTCTTGTTATTTCTACTCAGTTCTCCCTAATTTCATAAACTGTTTCTCCTTGGACTTCCTTCCTCCATAACAAAGACACATTTTTTACTTCTTTCCTAGAATAAATAAATAAATAAATAAATAAATAAATAAAAAACAAGCTACCTCTTGTTATTTCTACTCAGTTCTCCCTAATTTCATAAACTGTTTCTCCTTGGACTTCCTTCCTCCATAACAAAGACACATTTTTTACTTCTTTCCTAGTAGTTGAAGGCTATATTTTCCTATCACTCCAATGTTGGCTGGTCCACTCCTTTTAAGAGAAGGAAAATCGACTGTTCTGTTGTATCAAAACGGCTTCTTTGATCTCCTCCGTCCCCCAACAACCCTGTGGATGAGTCCAAACTTCAGACCTGCTGGGTCTACCCATCTCCTGAGTACAGTGCTATCCAGCTTGTCTCCAGATATAGAACTGCCCCCAGCCAGCCAGCCATGCCCAGAAATGCTCTGTGTCCTAATGCTGCAAGAAAACTTTCTTTGCAGGCACAAATTCATGACTGTAGATAATTACATCCAACATCTAATGCTAAGCCTACTTCAGCCTGTATAGTTAGAAGAAGATAGATCTGTTGTCATTCATCTTTACAGTTAATTATAGGAAGAGACTTCTGCATATAATTGTTGAAGGGGCACGGTTACAGTGGCACAATGAAATAATAGTCTGACATTTTTAAAGAAGCAAAGACTTCAAATAGCTCATTACTGCTGCAGAGAAGCTACAGGAAAATAAGCATTTTTCTCATAATAATTACGAATAACTACACTCAATCAATTATATTTCTCCTCAAACTCATGCACCGGGGTCTTAAATGATTCCTTTTTAAAATAAAAAATTGGATTTATGGTTACAATTCAGTAGTGAAATATATTTTGAAGAGGAATAATAATAATCCACTTTGCATGAATAAGGTCCCAGGTTTCAGTAACTAGACCTCATGATGGCACAGGAGGGAAATCAATTGGAATTATGAGCTTAAAGTTAAAGATTAAAGGGGGGAAAAGCTGCCAGATTCATATCAATCTTCTGAACATCTTTTTATTCCAATATTTAAAGCCAAAACTATCCAGACCTTTTGCAGATTTGAAACATTGGGAGACCACTCTCCAGCTGCCAAATATGAGCTAATTGGAAAATTAGCATGTGAATCATATTAATATGAATCACTGCTTGTGAATAACTGCCACAGACAGATGTTTCTAGCATGGCTAAAATCATAACACAACAAGAAGTGGATAAAAAAAAGTGTTCAGTTGACCTGCCCAGATCTGAAATTAAGGCCTGTGTGGTTGCCTAATATATTCCTGGGGGAAACCTCACTCATTTTATGGGCAGCCAATTCATTACCAACCCATCTTCTGTTGATGCTCCACGTCAGACACAATCAGCGCAATCAAACAGTGACGGAAATTCCCTCTTCAGTGAAAACAGCCATTGTTATGAACACAGCAGGTATAGCTGGAATCAGCTCTGAAGAAGATTGATACAAACATGTGTACAGGAATATGGAGCAAAATGCTTTATGTCTACCATATACAACTGGGCCAAAGTGGAAAGAGGTGTGATTCACATCTTACATTACAATAATGTCTAAGCCTTGTAGAATGGAAGCCCAGCTTTACTGTGACTTAGGGGTGTATGGACCAAGACATAGACCATGACTTGGATCAAGACTTAGGGACATTGATTTGATCACGTTGATCAGCAGTTGTTCTCTGGCTTTTCCGAAGAGTCTTCTGAAGCCCCTAGCAGTTGCTCACAACCAAGAAAGCTAGTTTCTCACCATCTTATTAACCAGATTTATTGAAAGGAAAAAGGGAATTAGGTTAGGAAACTGGATGTATGTATTTTAGCCTTCCATTCACCGGAAAGTTCAGTAGGATTCTTTGATCAACTTGCTAACCACTTGAAGCAGTGGGGAGGGTTGCTTCTTGCTTCCCTGATAAGGATGAATATGTAGACATTCTGAATCTGTAATATTTTGCAGACCACTTCCCTATTAGGGTAAGAAAGTGTGTGCATGAGTGAGACACGCAGTGAGCATCATGATTACATAGAAGCCTGAACCTGAGTCTTCCTGCTCCAAGTCTAATATCTTAACCACTTCACTCAACTGGCTCTCAACATCTTGATCTTACCTTCTCCACTGCACCTGTGACAACAGAGATTCCACCTATCCACCTAATCAGCCCTCTATTTCTTTCTCTGTTGCACTTCCTTTCTAACAGAGAGAAGAGTTTAAACATTGCAGAATGAAGCTGAAGTTGTGTCTGGCCTTTTAATTCCTCAGGCTAATGTTTATGGCGAGAATGGCTCATTAATTCCAACCATTATTTTCTGCTAGAAATAGTTTCTTTCTGCAACTTTCCAGACTAGGACTTGTAAGAGAAAGCATATCTGGACACTCATGGTGTCTGTGGGGAAAGTGAGAGAAAGACCTTGGATGAGGAATAAAAAGTCAGTGGAGAAGGGTGACCACCCATTCCTCTGCTGTTTTTCTCCTCCTAACGTAGCTCTAGATTTGCAGCAAAGAATTGGTTGCCAGCATGTTCTTATACCTACTGACATATGCCACGTTGCTGATCCACCAGATGTAAAAACATATTTTCAGATCATTTCTTTGGAAAATGATGGCTTGCCCTGGGGTGATGAGAAGATCCAGAGTTGTACAGTCAATGACTTTATGTCCCTTACTTTACAGTATTTATTATCGAGGTGATCAGATGCAAATCCTTTTCTTTCCACTTTCAGGAAGAAGTCCAACCTCTCCCCCATTTCAAGAAATGGGGACAATTGAAAAAACCCCCAGTCTTCTTGTTTGGCTTTTGCTGATTTTGACACATTTATGGCACAATGCAGGTAAGTTAGTCTATTTTTTTCCACCAACTGGTTCCCTGAATCAGAACAAATTTCACCACCGTCTCCAGAATGGTCACTCATCATCCACTGAAGGTGTTGCTGAGAATGATAGAGGAGCTGTGTGAGAGCAGATCAACCATCATTTTAGCATAGCTTTCCCACCAATGCCATCCAGATGCTTCTGAAAAATCACATGCAGAATGTGGGAATAATTGTTCTTGCCCGTGTTTTTTTTTCCTCCCATGTTTTTTCTCAGCCTCTGATACTAGAAGCCACAAAGGACTGACATGGCTACCAGTAACTGATGAATATTAGCCAGTCTAGTTTGAAAACTGTACAAATTGCTTGCCACATTCTTTAGAAGTGCATTACACTATAGAGTTCAAATTCCATATGAAATCTGAAAATTCCGTAGTTCCATTTTGGACTGACAAGAAGTTCAGAATTCACTTTCCTGACACTCCCACCATTGCACTGCCAGATTCTTCTGCATCCTTTTATATATTTTTTGCATGAGTTTCTCTTCCAACCCTCTTCATCTTTTTTAAAATTTTTATTAAATAGTCCCAAATATGATAGCTTTCCTTCCCAGGGAAGCTCAGTTCAATCCCATAAAAATTTTATTTGCTTTTTTTGGGAAACCTGAATTGGAGACCATATGGCAAGCTTGATCTGAATAGTAATCTTGTTATGTTTGGGATGAAGATGTGGGTTTGCTTAACTGATATTTTATTAGATGGAGGCTCAAACCCAGATAGTAGTGACACGTTTTCCATCAGTTAGTATAGAGAAGTAGGGGAGAGATATAACCTAGTTAGAAATAGTCTCTTAGCTCTTTCAAGAGGTGTTATGGTTGAATGTTGGCAGTCCCCACTGAGTAGAACACAGTTTGAAAGGTACTCACTTGGAGTAATGGTCCAGTAGCCAAACTTCTTTCTAACCAGAAGGGGGCTGTTACTGGGTTTTCAGTGGTCTAATCCAGCACCTTCTAATGTGTTGATTCCAGTGTGAGAACTGGCCCTGATTTTTACTGGAATTCAACTTTATTCCCCATCGCTTTGTTTTTCAAAGTGTGTTCTTCCTTGCCGGCTTTATTTCCAGGTGCCCAGGAAAATATCCACTGGGAAATTCAGCGTTATGATGGCTGGTACAACAACCTCATGCAACATAAACACAACTCAGCAGGTGAGAAAGATGCAGCTGATCTTCCAAACTTCCAACTTAGAGGAATTGTTAGTTATTTACGGCTAAAGTTCTCAACCTGAGTTCCATTGATCTTAGTGGACATTATCTCTGAGCTTATGGATCTTCAGCCAGTAGCTAATCATCAGCCTCAGTTTTAGGTATCCTAAACTATCCTAAACTATCCTAAACTATCCATCTCTAACCATGTTATTTTGGAGCAAATGTATATGAGATTATACTATGAACCTTGTGGTTCCACAAAGACTTCCTCAATCCTAAGAATATAAACATTCTCTCAAGTGGTCCACCTGCTCTCCCACTTTGCTGGGGTGCCATTTCCAGTATTTGCAAGGAACTGTGGCCAGTAAGAAAAACCAGTTTTGCATAAGATGTCCATGTGCTCGTCTGCCTCTGTAGATTCAAATTCAGAAATGGAGGCTTAAATAAAATGGCATAAATGTGGCCTTAGTGGGGAAGATGACAACCAGTTAACCTGGGCCTCTTCTAGCCCCTCCAAAAGCCTTAGCTGAACCCCCAGCCCCATTCAAAAATCACCTCTGAATTATAACATTTAATGTCACCAAAAGGGAAAAATATTCAACACATAGGGGAGAGGATAATCACTTAGCCTGTTAAATTTTATTTTCATGATGCTCCAATTAAATGAAATCAAATTAAGTTTTTCTACTGGCACATTATCCAACAGCCAACTATAGACTTCTGCCTATGCCAGAAAAAGTGTATGGGACAATGCACTTGAATTTTCTTCCAAAAATTACCTTCCCATCACCCTTTCCTTGTTTCTCGTGCCATACTTTGCCCCATTCCCACCTTGGAGTGATATGCTGAATTCCTTCCCAAGGTTCACAATGGTCACATCTGATTATTGATTCATTATGTGCCATCAAGTTGCTTTTCACTCCTAGCAACCACATGGGTAGATTTTTTCCATGATGATCTATCCCTAACTTGGTCTTTCAGGTCTTCAAGCAGTGTACCCATCACCAGTGTAACTGAGTCCACCCACCTTGCTGCTGGTCATCCTCTTCTCTTTCCTTCTATCTTTCCCAGCATTAGAGTCTTCTCTTTCACATAATGTATCCGAAGTAGGATAATTTGAGCCTGGTCCTTTGTGCCTTGAGTGAGAACTCTGGGTTGATTTGATTGATCATCCATTGGTTTGTTTGCTTGACTGTCCACGGGATTCTCAAGAGTCTTCTCATGATCCTTCCTTTGCCCCATTCCCACCTCAAAGTGACATGCTGATTTCCTCCCCTAGGTTCACGGATGTCACGTCTACTTCCTGCTAACTATGCAGACGGTGTATACCAGGCCCTGCAGGAACCTCATGTCCCCAATGCACGCAGGCTTAGCAATGCGGTGGCCCAAGGGAATTCAGAGATGCCTTCTCGGAAGAACAGGACAGTGCTTGGTGTTTTCTTTGGTAAGCAAACATCCTTTAAAGAGGCAACCTGTTGACCCAGCCATTCACTTGAGCTCTTTGGATCCTTCTGGCACAGAAACCATTGCTAAGTGTGTTTCCACCAATTAAAACTTGAATCATGTTCTTGGGATTTAGAAAAAGGTCACACCAGCCTGTGGGTTTCTCCAGAACCCTTTACTCCTTTCTGATGGGAAAGTAGAAAAAAGAGAAAATCAGTTCAGCCAGTTATTTCCTCCAACATAATGATTCAGGTGATCTTCTACCTGGACCCAGTCTTGGAGAAGTTCTCAAGCTTTAAATGTGTGGTTTGAGAAAGTCACAATTTGTATTATTTCAAGCAAATAATACAAGAGTGTAAAAAGAAATCCTTTGTTACAACAAATCCTATTTGAAAGAATGTCCTGAACAGGTCCAAAGCAAATGGGCCAAGTGGGGCAGAAGTACATACAGTACTGAACTGAATTCTGCACGGGAAGCCAGATAAAACTAAAATCTGTACCCTATGGATTCACCCATAAGTCAATTCCTTCTCCCAGCATTATTTTGCAAATCCATGCAGTTTTTAAATCTAGATAGTGTAAGTTCTGTTAGCTAGTCTGATTTGTTAGTTCCAGTCTTCAGACCAGAAGTGAAATGGTTTCTAGAACTTGGTGCATATGTTCATGCTTATACTGGGTTCTGTTTTGGCTTCAACCCTCTGTTGGCCACCTAGAGTCACTGTTGTGAGATGGGCAGCTGTACAAATGGTTAAAGTAATGAACCGACTGCATGGGCTGGCCTAGCACAATATGCTAAGCACCAAAAACCTAGCCAAGATTAAATTAACCAAGCTTTGAATGTCATGCAGGTACATCCAGTAGATTTTCAATAGACCTGTTTAAGTACATTGCATGTACCAAGTACATATACACACACACACACACACATATGCACGTGTGCACACACACATACACTCACAGCACTGATCTAATATTTGTTTTCTTGATGGTTCCTGAAAATTGTTTTCTTTTCTGGGAGTGTCTTTCTTTCTTTCTTTCTTTCTTTCTTTCTTTCTTTCTTTCTTTCTTTCTTTCTTTCTTTCTTCCTTCCTTCCTTCCTTCCTTCCTT